GAATTTGAGATACAAAAACAGACAAACCCACCTTAAAGCCTAAACTCTTTTAAACACGGGCAGTGTTTTGTTTCATAAGGAATGAATTTTAACCCTCAGACCAAAGCAGACCAAAGAATTTGACAAAACGAAAGACAAGAGCAGGATCGAAGAAAGACAAGAGTCGTGATGGGTTTGAAAGTGTTGTCTCGACAGTTTCTGATATTTCTCCAGAGTCTTGACAGTCTTGAAAGTTCTTTGAGAGTCTTGAGATTTTTGGGAGTTTTTCCATATTTGATATATGAGTGGAACTCGCGAATCGTGTCGAAATACTACCTGAAAAGCATTGCTAGCATTCTGGTTCAAACCAAAGTTGTTGGCCCTTTCTGGGCAATAGATTGTTGGCACTTGATGTCGGCGCTCGACGATGCTAGTGCCCCTGAAAAGCCCACGCCAGAGACAGAGGACAAAGATCAAGAGACACAGCTAGAGGCAGAGGAAGTTGAGCAAGAGGACGAGAATCTTCAGGAACAAGCGACAGAAGAGCGAAAGACAGAGAATCCAGAAGAGCAGGGCGAAGCACCAAAAAAGAAACCCAAAGGCAAAGCCCAAGCAAAAACAAAGGCAAAGGCAAAAGAAAAGGCTGCCCGAAAGCCCAAAGACAAGGCAAAGGGAAAGGCAGCCGCCCAGAAAGCAAAACCAAAAGCCAAAGCCAAAGGGAAATCCAAAGCCAAGAAAGGCCAGAAAGACCAGGAAGAAGAGGACGCGCACGCAGAAGAAGCGAAATTGAAGGAAGTGAAGGAGGAACCAGCAAGTCAGACACCCAAAAGGAAAAGCAAAAAGAGGCCTGCTGCACCAGAGAACGATGGAGACGGCTCTGAGCCTGCTCAGGCCAAGGCCAGGGTCGAGCCAAAGAAGGAGACGAAGGAAGAGAAGAGCGCAAAGGCTGAGAAGAGCAAGAAGGAGGAGAAGAGCGCAAAGGAGGATAAGAACACAAAGGACGACAAGAACAAGAAGGACGAGAAGAGCAAGAAAGACGAGTTTTGTGAGCGTTGCTTCGAGAGAGTTTGGAGAGCTTTACTTTGAGAGAGTTTTGAGGGAAATTGTTTGGAGATTTTGGAGAGCTTCGACAGACTCGGCAGGCTTGATGTTTAGTAGGTTTGATTGACCCACGCGCAGCAACTAGAGCACAAAGGACGATAAGAACACAAAGGAAGAGAAGAGCAAGAAAGACGAGAAGAGCAAGAAAGACGAGAAGAGCAAGAAGGAAGAGAAGAGCAAGAAGGAGGAGAAGAGCCCAAAGGATGATAAGAACACAAAGGAAGAGAAGAGCAAGAAGGAGGAGAAGAGCAAGAAGGATGAGAAGAGCAAGAAGGACGAGAAGAGCAAGAAGGAAGAGAAGAGCAAGAAGGAAACTAAAGACAAGGATGATGATAAGAAGGATAAGAAAAAGAAGATCAACAGAGGGGAGTGGCTCAAGAGCTTCAAAGTTGAGAGTGACGAGGAAGAGGATGAGAAGAAGAAGAAAAACAAGAGCAGGAAGGAAAAGAAGAAAGGGTCCAAGTCCGAGTCTGACAAGTCAAAGAGTGATGGTGAGGCCTTTGTTAGCCTGCGTTGATTCATTTGTCATGGCAGCTGGACTCCTGACTTTGTAGGCAAGCGACAGCTCCAAGAGCGATGATGAGGACAGGCTGGAAAAGGGCAGGAACAAAGCTGCAGCGATGGCCTTTCGCCGATTGTTTCCTTCCCTGCCGGTGGCAGCGCAGAATGAATGGAACAAGATTGAAAGCTCAAGCAGGCCGCAAACCACGCACGGCTGTAGTGTCCAGAATGTTTCAATGCGTATTTGAGAGTTTTGACAGTTTGAGAGGGGAGTCTTGAGAGTTTGGAGAGTTTGGCGAGATGTTTTTGCAGAGTTAACTCGTTAATTCTTAAAGTTATTTTTCATATTGTTGGTTTAGCATTTCTGAGAGCTTGTGAATTTGCATGCTGCTGTCCCGCCGATGCTGTTCACTGCGTTGCGTGACACTAAAACTATTTATGCGGTGATGGCAAGGCAGGAGGCGACTGAATGGCTCATGAAGAGGATGAAGAAGTGTAATGGTAAGTGGACCTTCACCCTTTCAGACGAAGGTTCAGTCAGCAAAGACAGGAAGAAGATTGACGCAGAAAGGTTCAGGGCAGGACACCGCAGTGTACCAAGATTCATTGCGGTTCAGAAGGCTGGTGGGGAAGCTGGCCTAAAGCAAGCAATTGCTGCTGGCGAGATTGTTCCTGTCAAAGGCCACTCCGGCAAAACTCTCTACCGATGGGAAGAGGAGAGTTCCTCGAAAGGTGGACAGCTAGAGACAATGACGTCCCTGCACACAAGTGATGTTTGCGATGGGCTGGTGATGGATCAGCTTTGGGGAGCTTTGGATTTCGCTGTCTTCGCACCCGAGACGCCTTCTTTCTCCCAGCCTTCGAATCCCGGTCAACTGATGCTGCCTCCAATGAATCCTGGAGGAATGAGTTTCGGTGGTGCTGGATGTGGTGCTGGAATGATGGGTGGTTCTGGAATGATGGGTGGTTCTGGAATGATGGGTGGTTCTGGAATGATGGGTGGTGCTGGAATGATGGGTGGTGCTGGAAGTGGTGCTATGTCAACGGATGTAGTGCTGGAATTGCCGCCGCAATATTGGCAGAAACTCGACGAGGCCGGCTTGTGCAAATTGTATATTTGTCAGGCTTGCAGCTGGTGAGTCAGGTGAGACTTTTTTAAGTAAAAGTTTTGAGAGTTATATTATATTTGATTGTTTTCCGAGAGTTCTGAGAGTTTTGTGTTTTTATGGTTATAGCTGAGAGTTCTTATTGCTGAGAGTTTTCTTGAGAGTTTTGAGGATTTTGTGTTTTGATGGTTAGCTGAGAGTTCTCATTGCTGAGAGTTTCCGCTACGTATAGTTCTTCGACCATTTTGAGCAGCTCAACTCTGTGACAATTTGCATATTCTGAGAGTAGTCCATATTTGACAGGCGTTGACTGTGGCCCAGGGTAGCTTGGCCAAAGCGGCCGCTGTGATTCAGACATTGAGCGGTAGGGCGCCTGGCAGCAAGCTGGCGAATGATATGCTCCAAAAGTTGAACATGGCCTATGGAGCAGTCACTGAATCCGTGAGTGTTATGACGCAGATAAAGGTGACGAAGCGCGGTCCAGGCAACATGCCCCTGACACCGCCAAATGCGAAGCAAATGCTCCAGAAGCTGTTCGTGCAGTTGAAAGATCTGCATGAATGCTGCAACGTCGGAAAAGCCGTCGGACGTTCTTGAGCCCCTAAGTTTGTATTGAAAGATGCATAAGATCGTATACTTGTTTTGTATACAGTAGAGTGTAATGGTTGGCTAAAGCAACGTTCGGTGAAATAGATTGGGCTCAGGACAACGCACATACCGCCTACCAAGGTTTATGTCGGAGGAAATACAGTTGAGTTGCGCGCTGACGAATGTGGTTGATGTGTTTGTCAGCAGTTTGCTTTGGTTTGCAGACTGGTTCAAGTCTGTGGGTTTTGAACATCACCGTTTGAAAATCACCCTCCTAGGAGGTCATGTCTGGCAAAATCACAGAGGCCAAAGGCTGCCACAACTACAGTACAGTACCACTCAATCTGAATTTCACATGGTCATTGAGTCATGGGGTTGTACTCGATTTGAAAAATTTTTTGTTCAACAACTCTTCTACCTATAGTCATGGGTAAACGGAAGGCTGCTGCGGAGGCGCCAAGCCACTTGGCGCAATAGTTACTGGAACAAATAGCTTGGGGACACTTAAGTGCGTCGCAAGGCCAGAAGATAGCCTATATGGTTACCAAAGACGTTCCAGACGCCCACCCCGCGATACAGAAATTTGCGAGGCTAGGTACATCCGGTAGCAATCCGGCGAACACCTGGCGGGACCTGCAGAGGTGGGTCGGCGAGCCGCAATTCCCTCTGCGGCAAGTAGAACTCCCTCTCCAGTTTGGCGCGAAGAAGGTCAAGCAATCTGATGTTTCGATTCTTTGGCCTCGCGAGATGTTCGCAGCACTATACACGCGTTATAGAGACGCATGGGCCAGCTACATAAATCCGGATGCGGCTGCTGCATTCTGGAACACAATGGGTTCGACAGAACTTTTCCGCGCGCACCCTTTGAGCACTGACCCGCGCGACAGAAGCAAGTGTGGCTCCCTTGCGTATATGTGAGGTTTTTAGCGCGTTGTTGTCAATTGTCAGTGCTAGTAGCTGCGCCCGTTGTCAATTGTTTGTGCGTTGTTGTTAAGGTATACCGTTGTCCCTTCACGGTGATGGCGTGCCATGTGTGAACGTGGGCAGTGCCCACAGCAGATCCGTGGAAATTGTTTCGTGGCGGTCCTTGCTTTGCGCAAACGCGCCTTGCAGTGAAACACGCAGCCTCTAGTGTTTTTGTCTTTCTAACTAATCTAATTGTGTGACAGTTGTGAAACTGGAGGCTGTTGACAGCAAGTTTGAGAACTTCGTTGTCAGCTTGATATGGAGCCATATGGTGGCAAAGCAGCAAACCGTCAAAGAGTATTGGAAAGCGCTTGCCTGGTCTCTGGAAAGCTTGTGGCAAGGCAATATTGGCAGAACAGATATATATATATATATAATATTGACCGGGTTGAGACTGCTGACATTTTTGAAAGTTTGAGGAACTCCTTTTGTCAGTGTGAGGGCTTTGAGAGTTTGAGAGGGACGTTTTGAGAGCTTGGAGAGTTACAGTGAGAGTTTTAAAGAGTTTTGAGAGTTTGAGAGGGAAGTTTTGAGAGCTTGGAGAGTTAGTGTTTGAGCCTGCGCGGACTTGAAACTTTTTCAGAGACTTCTGTTGTCAGTGTGAGGGCTTTAAGAGTTTTGACAGTTTGAGACTCTCAGCAAAGTGTTTGGGGCACAATTGTGGTGGACGTTGGGCCACATCCTAGATATTTGGAGGCACCTGGCCACTCTTGGACTGGAAGGGCAATCCGGTTTTTGCTGGAACGCCATTGGCAGGAGGCTGGTTTGCCACGATCTGGTTAGTCCAAGCCGACCTAGCCTGGCATCCATAGTGGTTGGGCCTTCCGGGCCACAATGCCCATCTGCCTTGCCAACTCTGCTCCAGTCCAAAGCCTGCGTTGCAAGAGTATCCAACATTCCATTTTGCAGTTTGTTTAATGGTATTTGAGTCTTAATATGGTTCAATGAAAACGGTATATAGATATATTGTTCAATGTTCTGCCCAGGTATGTGCCCTCCGAGCTGTCGACATTTGTGGCCACTTTGACAACACAGAAATTCCAGAGCACAGACAAAACTTTCCCAGTCCTCAAGGGACGAGCTTACCAATGCAGAGGTTTGACCGAGCCTTGGTTGAATCTGTGGGTTGACCGCATGAGCGGCAGTCGCCAGGATCGACTCCTAAAAATGGTCATGCAAAGATCTGTAGATTTCGATCGAATCATCCGCAATTATGCAATGGCATCGGTGCTGCCAGCTGACGTGTCTTGGACGAGGTTCTAGAGTTTTTTCCTTGGAATTCAAAGTTGAATTTGTAAGAGAGTTATGGAGCATTTTTGGCTGTAGAAACATGATTCGATCCCTAGGCCTCCCAAAGACTGACGAAATGCATGTCAGAGTTCATCCCGCTGTACAAAGAGCTGCAGCTCCTCTGGGAAGGCTTTTTCAATATGACCAAAAAGTGGCACGACCTGTTCCACTTAGCACAGCGGTCATCGGAGGTCAATCCGGCAATCACTTCTTGCATGCTGCAAGAGGATCTCATGGGAAAGATCAAGACTATCGTAAAGCAAAGCGTGCAGGCATCTCGGCCACTGACTGCGACCACGAAAACCATGGTCAAATATCGGCTAGGGATTCACCTGGAGCATTGCAGGGTGTGATATAGGACGACCAAGGTTGGATTTGCAAGAGACTTGGACAAATTGCCACTGGCGTGCAACCTCTGGAATGCTCCTGGCGACTTCCAAATGTCATCAGATGCCTCCATGCCTTTTAAAAAGGCATGCTATTCGTCAGATTGTGCCACTTAAGGGCCAAGCAACGAATCTTTTTTGAGCAGTTGCTGGAAAACATGGAGCTCACCTCACGTAGGGCAGGCATATTCATGATGGAACGTGGAACATGACTTTAATTGAACCGCGCTGGCATTTGTTGGTTACTGAGGATGTTTGGAATTGCTTGGAAAGGTTTTTTTTGCTTTGAGAGAGTTTGAGAGAGTTTTGAGAGCTTTGCTTTGAGAGAGTTTTGAGGGAATTTGTTTGGAGAGTTCACGGATTTGATTGACCCATTCCGAATAGCCGAGTGAAATTTTGCTCAATATCAGCTGAGCCGCGTAGAGCCAACGTCCTTATAATTGTGATCATGACTGAAACTTCGAGGTTCGCGCAATGTGTTCGCTTTTTGCAAGCGGTTGCTGATGAGAGAATCTGTGTCAGCTGCTGGGCTGAGATGCTTGAGGAATACTTGGAAAGGTGGGCCATATATTGAGATTTGTTGATTAACAATGGACACCCCAGTCAATATGCAAGCTTGCTTGCGCAGGGAAGACTACATTCAACTACTTCGAGTATCGAAAGATTGTCGGTGCGATTTG